CCCCCCCCCCCCCCCCCCCCCCCGCAGAGGCCTGCAGATGATTAACCACAGGCTTCTCTTGTGAGAGAGTTACCTGTAGGATTCTTAGGGAGCTGAGGCTGGATCTATTCATCTTATAATGGAAATAATTTGAGTGAATATTTCCTAATTAAACAGGGGCCAGAACAGCTTGGCAATTCTAGGCTGGGCAAAGGCCCCTAGGCCTGGGTCCTCTTCCCTGGATTTAAGAATGCTCAGGGTAGCCCAGCCAGCATGGCTTGGTGGTTGAGCATCGACCTGTAAACCAGGAGGTCACGGTTTGATTCCTGGTCAGGGCACAAGCCTGGGTTGTGGGCTCAATCCCTGGTGTGGGGCATGCAGGAGGCAGCCAATCAATGATTCCCTCTCATCATTGATGTTTCTATCTCCCTCTCCCTCTCCCTTCCTCTCTGAAATTAATAAAATATACTAGTATTTTTTTTTAGGGTAGAGCGCGAATGCAGTCCCCCACTACCACAAATTACACAGTCGAGTTTCCCACATTTGGGGAAATCGCAGGGGTCAGCGTACCCGGAGTGCAATGGGTAAGCCTCGCCTTGGGGAAACCACCTTCGTGATCATGGTATCTCCCCTGCCAGGTAAGTATATATACTAGTATTTTTAAAAAAAGAATGCCCAGAGTAGCCCAGCCAGTGTTGCTCAGTGGTTGAGCATTGACCTATGAACCAGGAGGTCACAATTCAATTCCCAGTCAGGGCACATGCCTGGGTTTCAGGCTCGAACTCCAGTGTGGAACGTGCAGGAGGCAGCCAATCAATGATTCTTTCTCATCATTGATGTCTCTCTCTCTCTCTGCCACTCCCTTCCTCTCTGAAATCAATAAAAATATCTATCTATATATATAAAAGCCTAAGCGACCGAACAATTGGTCGCTATGACACGCACTGACCACCAGGGGTCAGATGCTCAATGCAGGAGCTGCCCCCTGGTGGTCAGTGCGCTCCCACGGCCAACCTCCCACAGCCGGCCAACCTCCTGTGGTCCCTCCCCCTGGCTGGCCCATCCCCATGGGCACGGATTGCCGACCAGGCCATCCATGCACGAATTTGTGGAGGACCCCACCCGTGCATGAATTCATGCACCGGGCCTCTAGTATTTATAATAAAAATGCGCAAGGTACACAAGCAGCACTGGCTGCTGATGGTGTGATGTTCCTCCAGTGTGGAGGCTGCACACACTGGGCCACCTCCCTTGGCTCTAACTCCAGCAGCAAAGGTCACTCTGCTTGAGGTAGGCTTGAGAGCTTTACCAAGCAGACAAGGCCCTCTTCTACCTCCTACTGACTTAGCTACACAGTCCAGAAAATGGAAGAGCAACAAAGATCCTTGGTGAAGACCAGGAGAGTGGTGGCCACGAACACTTGTGTGTGTTTAGAGGAGGGAGAGGACGGTCACAATAGGAGGTATCATCTTGGGAAGGGACAATTTGGGAATGTGAGGCTGCACAGAGTATCTGTACTCCTGAAAACAACTGAAAAAGAGGTCTAGAAACCTGTCAGATCACTTGCAACCAGGAAGGTTTTCTGGAGCTGGCATCTATCTTAAATGAATAACAAGGAAACTGCAGCTCAGATTCAAAGCGCCTGGGGACTAGGGACTTATGGTTTTAGGGCTCTGTTTTATACCAAGGCTACTGGGACAGAGTCCAGCTCGATGTCTAGTGACCCCACGAAGCCCACATGCCATGTAGATTCTGAAGCCTGGGTGCACGTCAAAAAGATGCTTCCATTTTACAAACACGTGAATTCAGCCAAATTTTATAACAAGCGTTTGCATTCTCTGAGATTTTCAGATACTGGTGGCGATCAAAACTTAGACTCCTACTTAGGCTGACAAATGTTCATGGTTTAAGATAGAACTAGAAGTAAAACCCTAGTCAATGAAGTAGAAACTCCCATTTTGAGCAGCGTGAATTATGCATCTTTTCCTGAATTGCCTAAAAAGAACATTTCATATTTGGGTGAAGTAGCTTGGGCCCAGAGTGGCCTGAGGACTCGGCAAACAACTGAGCAACATAACCCTATCGCCAAGCTGCCTTATAGCACCACATCATTTGAAGTACAATCGCTAACATTACAGTGGTCTCCTTACCTTTCACGACATCAGCCACGTTGCAGGTGGGATCGATACTTCCGATGTGTTTAGGATGAGCAGGATTTGTGTCACCACCAAACAAAAGCGCTAAACAAACACAGAAGGGAAGGGAGAGATTATAAACAAAGCAGGCTGGGATGGTCAAGCAGAGAAAAATGGAGGATTCTCGTGTTTGTAAGAATCATTTTAGCATCCACAGTGACTTAAAGTAACAGAAGACAGAGTGGGGCAAAAGTGGGTTTACAGTTGTATGTGAAACACAGAGTTCATTTTTGTATTATTATTTATTGTTGTATCCTTTTCCATTATCAACAACTGTAAACCTACTTTTGCCCTACCCTGAATATATGATGAGGGGACAACGAAGAAGGAAGGATGTGCTTTAAGACCTGTCAGTAGCGCTCAGCAGGTCCTAAAGCAGTGACACATGCCAGGTGGTCCAATCCTTTCTTTCTGACCCAATGTAACTTGGATGAAAAAACTGCCTTTCAACTTGACCCACCTTCTCAGTACTACTGCGGACATTTAATCCAACATTCACTCAGTAGTTAGAAAACACAGCCTGCACATTAGGCCAGGCTTGTGAGATGTCTTCACTGTGAACATTTCAAATGCCTCCATCATGGAGATTATTTTTCAATGTTGTATACACAAATGATATTTGTTCAAGTATTTTTTAACCCCAAAGTTTTCAATTTTTTTTATCCTCACCCAAGGATATGTTTATTGATTTGAGAGAGAGAGGGAGGGAGAGAGAGAAACATCGATCAGTTGCCTGTTGCCTTCCATACGCACCCCGACAAGGGGATCAAACCTGCAACCTAGATATGTGCCCTGACTGGCAATCGAACCCGCAACCTTTTGGTGTATAGGACGACACTCCAACCAACTGAGCCACCTGGCCAGGAACATTCAAGTATTTTTAAAAGTATAAATGCTTTCAAAATACACAAGATTGGCAAATTTGACTTCTGAACAAAAGCCAAAAGGAGCCCCAAAGGAAAAAGTAATCTAACTTCAGTGTTTATAGGTATATGTATATAATATTTATTTATTTTTGGTATAGTTGTTTTTAAATCAAACAAAAATTGGGAACAACTTAGATTTCACAAAAGGAGAATGCTTCAATAATATAGGGGAGATTTTAAATTATAAAAATGCTGAATATGAGCACTAGGCCAATACATAAAGTTCCAACTGATTGAGTGAAAGAAAATCAGAAGTGACAAGCTTAGTCCATGATCTAAAAATATGTACATATAGCCCGGCCAGTGTGGCTCAGTAGTTGAGTGTCAACCTATGAACCAGGACGTCACGGTTCGATCCCCAGTGTGGTGTGTGCAGGAGGCAGCTGATCAATGATTCTCTCTCATCACTGATGTTTCTCTCTCTCTCCCCCTCTCCCTTCCTCTCTGAAATCAATAAAAACATATATTAAAAAATAAATAAAACATATACATATATACACAGACACAGATTTAGGTCAGTAAGACATTATAGTTATCTAAGTAGTTTAGTTAAATAGTATATAGGTTCTTTTTTTCCTTCAAATCTCCTATAAATTGTTATATTTTTTAAAAAATAATAAATTACCTTTATTATCATATCATCAGAGTGATATGTTTTGATTATTGTTATGAAGAGTTATATATTTTACTTGTAACTAATATGATTTTTTTTCAATTACAGTTGACATTCAATATTATATTGGTTTCGGTACACAGCATACATTTCTATTTTTAAAAGCTATACATTTAGAACCAACCACATTTATTTTTTATGTGCCCAGGCATGAATCAGCTGGCCAACAACACAGGCATCAGCTAGAATGAACTAAGGACTGTGTGCCTGCTTTGCCCCTGATGGATATAAGAGCAACACCACCAATCTGGTGTCTCCTTGCCCATTGCCAGGGGGTCCAACCTTCATGTAATAGCTGAATAACATTCATTTATCCAAATAAATAAAATTAGTAAAATAAAGATACATTATCCATTTTATGACTCAGTAAAGAGGATGATTTAGACTCTAGATGTGTGGATGCTTTTTCATAAGAATTATGAAATCAGCCCGGCCGGCTTGGCTTAATGGTTGAGCATTGACCTATGAACCAGGAGATTATTGGTTCAATTCCCGGTCAGAGCACATGCCCGGGTTGTGGGCTCAATCCCCAGTGTGGGGCATGCAGGGGGCAGCCAATCAATGATTCTCTCTCATCATTGATGTTTCTCTCCCTCTCTCCCTCTCCCTTCCTCTCTGAAATCAATAAAGATGTATTTTTTCAAAGGAATTATGAAATCAGGCAAAGAGACAATGCTAAAAATAAGCCCCAACTTTTTTTGTGGAGAAAATTTTAGTTGCTTTTTTTTTCTTATCTGCTTATCAGCCTGGAGAGTGGACTAAATCTCTCAGGATTATGGTTTGATAACTCGCTTAATCTGTTTTCACTGATCATTATGACATAAAAGACCAATTGCTCATATTGTCAACATGCCAATTCAATATTCCCAGAAACAATGTTTTTAAAACCAAAAAGGAAACCATCCAATAACCTGGAAAAAATACTAGAACATTCTCTCAGAGACACATAAAAGTGTTTGGAGATTAATACGGCGCCATTAAAGCTGGACCTTCGCCCCCATCAGGAATGGGACAGCAAAGGCTTAGCATCAAATAGCCTTTCAATGATTTATTTGAACAAAGAATACTAATGAATAGCTTTTTACTAGATAGGATTTACTTAGAAAAAAACTTAACTAGGAATGAAATTTCTACAGACAAAAATGCAGATCTGTAACAGGGAAACATATGGAAGAAATCACTCTGATTACCATTTCAAATCTGGACCAAAAGCCCGACTTACTGTGCTGGTTAATAAGCATGCGGAAGGAGATGCGGTTGGTATAGAAGCGATCCAGGAAATACTGGATGTTACTGCTAGTGAACGGATCAAACCCAAACTTCTCCTTGTATTCAATCACTCCTTGTGCCATTGTAGGAACCACATCATTGTGTCTATTTCTGACTTGAATAAGAACTTGTAGAAAGCTGTGTGGGAGAGAAACAAAAGTAGTCAGTCTTTATATCTCATGGCTGATGCATAACCTCCCCAATTCCATCTCCGGACTACTTATCTTCTGGTATTTCTATAGGTAGAGACATCATAATCATTACAGGCTACAAGGAAGAACTCATGGGAAACAGAAGTATTACCTAAGTTTTTGCCTGAAACTTTCTACAGAAATTCTTTCAGAGACACAAAAAGTAAACAGTTCCAGTAAAGAAAAAATGCTCAAATAACTTTTTAAGGAATCCACTGCCTTTTTGGATAAATGATCTATATATATAAAAGCCTAATATGCAAAGTGTCCCCTCAGGAGTTCGACTGGAAGACTGGGAGTTTGATCACTCGCTATGAAGTGCACTGACCACCAGAGGGCAGCGTGGAATGAAGGAAGGCTCCGGCTGGCAGCCAGAAGACCCTGATCAGCCCTGATCGCCAACCAGGCTTAGGGACCCTACCCATGCAGGAATTTCGTGCACCAGGCCTCTAGTTACATATAACACAGGTTCTATAAATATTTGCTGAATAAATAATTGCAGAGCATATTATTTTTTCTGACAACATGAGGACAATCCAAAAAATTTTCCAAGAATTTATTATGGAGTTCCAAAGCAAAAGGTTCGGATGGTCAGACACTTAGCATATTAGCCTATTTATTCAATATGCTAATGAATAAATAATGTCAAACTTTTGAAGAGTAAAATTTTGAAATATAATTCTCATAGCAGTAAAATATAGTGATGAAATGTAGATAGAATAAAGACAAAACAAACCTATTTACGTATTGTGGTATATTACTGTAAAGATGCAGACAGAAAATGTATTATGGATGGTAAGTAACTAAGAAGAGAAAGACAAGTCAATGGAACCAATAAAAAGCTTGGAACCAGGATGAAGGGTGAGTGAGTATATGCATATAAAAATTGAGCATATCGATAAAGTGGCATTGCAAATCAGTAGGGAATCAATCAAATTACTTGGGACAGCTGCTTAACAATTTAGTCGCAACCCAATTTCCAGCCTTCAGCCAAACAGTGGGTTAAGAGATTTAAATGCAAGAGGGCAAAATCACATAAAAGATAAAAGAAAATCAGGTGAGAAAGTATATAACCTTGGAGTAAGGAAGGCTGTTCTAAATTTAATACCAAGGGCAGAAACCAGGAAGAAAGAAATTATATGACTGGGTAGAATTTCAGCAATTCTGTCAAAAAAAAAACAAACAAGGGAAACTGGGAAAAGTCTATTTGGAAGAGTTACTATCCTTAATAAAAAAAAAAAAAAAAGATGAGCCCCCCTCCCATAGGAAAACTAGGCAAGTAATATGGTATCAAAGGAGAATTACCAGAGGAAATGCAAATGCCAAAAACTTCCCCTTCACAAATAATAAAAGAAAAACAAATTAAAACAGTGCAACAGCTGTATTTAAGAGCTGTTCTTTAGAGCAGTGGTCACCAACCTTTCGGATCTCATGGACCACCAGTGGTCCGCAGACCACAGGTTGGCGACTGCTGCTTTAGAGCACTGTTCGTAGTCACAAGAAAACTGTAAACCCTTCTAAAACCCAAAGATAGGAGTTCAAATCCCATGACTTATCTTTAGATGGACTATTATGAAACTGAATAGTGCTGTAGATCTGTAACGTCACATGGTTATTTTTGTAAAAAAAAAAAAATTCATACAAATGCATAGGTATGCCTGGTTAAAAGTTGGGATGGAAGGAAAATGTTTAGAATAGTTGTCCCCTGGCAGTGGAAATGTGGAGTGACTTTCTTTTTAATTATCTTAATAGTCTTATTTTCCCCAATGATGAAATATGTCTGTAACAAATGCATACAGAGACAGCAAACCTGAGTAAATCAACTCTGAAATTAGGAGGTCATAATTATTCACAAGAAATTTTATGAAGGATAATTTGTCCTTTACATAATGCTCTTTCTTTATTTTTTTATTTTTGTTTTGTTTTGTTTTATTGTTAATCCATAAAACATTATTTTTTCATTGATTTTTAGAGTATATTTTTCCATTGATTTTTAGAGAGAGTAGAGGGAGGAGGAGAAACATCAATGTGAGAGAGACACATCGATTGGTTGCCTCCCACATGTGCCCCGACCAGGCCCAGGATTGAGCCTCAACCAAGGTATGTGCCCTTGACCAGAATCAAACCAGGGACCCCTGTCCTCGGGACTATGCCCTATCCACTGAGCTAAACTGGCTAGGGCCATAATGCTCTGTGTCTCAACTTATCTGAAAGGAGGAGACTTGCCTTCATGGTTCAGTTCTCAGCTACTTGCCCAATCTTCTGGGGCTCTTCTAAACTTATCTATATATATAAACCACAAATATGTTAAGTGTCCAACCGTCTGACCGGTCGCTATGATGCACACTGACCACCCGGGGCAGTCAACGCAGGAGCCGCTGAGCTGCAGTGACTTGGCAGTGGCAGTTCTCAGGTGATGCACCCCGAAACCAGAGAGGAGGGAGCCCGACTCCTCGCGGGGCTGCGCGATTCCACCTTTGGCCATGGTTTATGTTGTTGCTGGGGCACTGTCGCCCTGAATCTGGTTTACTGCACACTTGCGTTTGCATTCCACACCCTGTACAACAGCAACTTTGAAGAGTGCCCTCTTGCACTCTGGGACCCCTTGAGGGATGTCAGAGAGCCAGTTTCAGCCTGATTCCCGCAGGCCAGGCTGAGGGACCCCACCTGCCAGAGGGACTCTGCTCACTCTGCAGATGCCTGAGAGGGACTGCGGGAGGTTGCCTCCAGGACGTGTCCAGCCCGTCTCGCCCAGTCCTGCCCTGCCGGCCACCTTCTAACTAATTTCCTTTCAATGTGCACAAATCTGTGCACCGGGTCACGTAGTCATTACATAAATGTGCTTGTCCTCTAAGCTACTTCCACTCTACTTAAATGATTTCCCTGCCCATGACTCCTATATAACCTCTCACTGAACACAAAAGACTACTACTATGAGTAACATGACTCACCTTCACTCCTTCCTTCACTATGGGCCCCAGGCTTCAAAAATCCCAAATATCCTAACTAGCTGCGTGCACCTAGGCAAGCTTCCAAAGCTCCCTGAGTGAGAGCTATTATTACAAAGATCTTGTACACACTTGACCCAGCACTTAGCAGTTTACAATGCAGGCTCACGTCCATAAATCACATCAGACTGACCACCTGTTCCAGAAACTGAGACAGGACTCTGGGAACCACACAGCAGAAATTGAATATCACATACTTCCACAAATCTGTGTCCTAAAATTCGAAGCTAGAAAGAGGCCAGTCCTCATTTTTAAGATATCAGCCAAGCAAACTGTTACTTGCTAATGACTTCTGAGAAAACAAAGCTTCTGGATTGGATTCATTTAATTTCAAAACCTTAAATGACAGCAAGAGTTGATAGTAATGCCCAACTGGCGTGGCTCAGTGGTTGAGTGTCGACCTGTGAACCAGGAGGTCATGGTTCGATTCCCAGTCAGGGCACATGCCTAGGCTTCAGGCTCGATTCCCAGTGGGGGCATGCAGGAGGCAGCTGATCAATGATTCCCTCTCATCACCGATGTTTCTATCTCTCTCTCCCTCTCCCTTCCTCTCTGAAATCAATAAAAAATATATTTTAAAAAAACAAGTTGATAGTAAGAAAAACACTGCATCTGGAACTCTAACCTTCCTTCCACGTTTCACAGATTCGTTGCACAAACACCTAGCCAAGTATAAAACAGGTCAATATTTTCCCCTTTATATTTTAATTTACAACTAAACTTGATCTAACCACTCATGGCTTGACCCAGCAGTGCTGGCAGTATGGTACATGGTCAAGAACAGTGTCCTACGAAAAAGGAAATGTGATTTCCAGATCCAGCTCTACTACTCACTAATGTTATGATCTTGGGCAAGTCACCTCACACCTTGACCTCAGTTTCCCTATCTGTGAATTGAGAGGGCTGGGTCAAATGCCTGGTGCTGAGGTCTTATATAAAGTGTTGTTTCTCTAGTTCTTTTCATGGAACACCTATATGTAAGGTGCTCAGTCTCACAATTGTGTGGACCAGGTTTCTACTTAGAAATTCCTCAGCACAACGGGCCTTCCATATGCATTCATTCATGTGTTTATGAAACAGGAAGAAAGTAATGTAAAAAGGATACTTCATTTCCTTGAGGGAAAGAGCCACACTCAGAGCTAGGGTTCGTGTTTTCTGGTTAAATGAAAATGAAAAACAAATATTTCCCATCGGCATGAGCATTTAGTGGTCTTCGTGCATAATAACAGCAATAGAATCAAAGTTGTCATATAAAAAGCACACTCTTTTCTGTTTCTCCAAAATAAAACCATTATTGGTTTTCGGCATTCAAATGTAGCAACACATTGAACATTTTTTTTAAAGACTGAAAAGATTGTGTAATAGCTTATTGCTACCGTGGAAGAAATGGGCATTGAGCATATCAAGAACTCGGAGAGCTCTCGCCAATCAATCAGAAGGCAACAGAGAAATATATGAAGGACTTCCTGTACTTATGCTGAACAGAAGGGGCAAGAGGGGACATGCTTGTCTTGGTGCTGATCTTAGAAGAAAAGATTTCAGCTTTTCACTGGTCCTTCCTCAAGTGGCTAAATAGATAAACAAGGAAGAGCAAGCAAGAGGACAAATTTAGAAGACTATAAGACAGATTTGTAAGGAATAGTCAACTGCCACAGTACTGGTGGATCCAGGGGTGCGGATGACAGAGGTTATGCTGCCATATTGGAAAAATATTTTTGTAAAGGATAATTCAAGCATTAATATGTTTCAGTGTCACGCAAAAAGTTTTAAATGCTTTTAGTGGATAATTTCAAACATCTCTTTTGCATCACACTATTAAACCACTTAATCTATATGTAATAAAGCAGACTACAGTTTGTGATTATAATTCATCAAGCAAAACTTTGAACTGTCTGTGGTACTTAATTATATAACCAGGAAGTAGGAATTATAATGTAAAACACAGTTCAATAAATGATGCAATTAATATCTTAAGTAAATGTCTTTGTAAAATGTCACCAACTCAGATTTAAGGGAACAATATACAGCATGTCCAAAACATGTACACACACTTTAACAGCTGATAGCTCAACTGATGTTGCTTTCTTTTCAGCCAGACTAAGTTTTGAACAAAGGAAATTCATCCTAAAATGCTACTGGAAGTTTGAAAATGCAGTTGAAGTACAAACATTGCCTTTATAATTATTCAAAGTGTATATAGATTTTTGGGGGTATCCCAAAAAATATATACACACTTTTAACAGCTGATAACTCACTTAATTTTCACTCCATTTCAGGTTTAACTGATTTGATATAGTGGGTGAAGCTAGACTAAGCTTTGAACAAAGAAAATTTATCTGCTGGACTTATTTATGGAGATACATAAAAGACAAAAGTTTACGGTACAAAACTGGCAAGAGTTGACTAATTAAAGGCGCACAAATACCAAACAAAATGATTTTTTATGTTTGCCATTCCATTGCTTTACATTATCAGCAGTGCCTGGACCAGAACGGTCATCAGCTTGAAAAAAGGCATTGATAAAAAAATTATTCATTTCTGTAGAATCTTTTAAATTTTAAAATGAACTGTATGTTAATAAATACTAACTTTATAACCATTCAATGTATGTATACATTTTGGGGGGACACCCTATATAATGCAAGAACTTCATCAGTGGTCAGGATTAATAATTTTAAATAGACTACATGAAGATTTTAAGATGTATCATAATATAATAAAAAGAGAAAAAATTGTATCACTGCCACAAATAACCTAGTTAGTTAGCTGTATGCAATATGCATCTGGATTGTTTGAACTGTAAAAGTAAAGAATTTGTAAGTCTAAATAAATAAATATTTCATAAAAATACTGTAAAGGACTGTGTAGATAGATTCATGCATATAAAGAGACCACTGCATTCTTCAAATGACCACTAGGTGGAACATTTACTGCAACATTTAGAGTGAGGGCCCGCACCAGTTCCCCAGAAGCACAAAAGTATTAAGAATTAGATCATATGCTAAGCAAAATAAGTCAGATGGAAGATGTCAAGTACCCTATGCTTTCACTCTAATGTGGGATATAAAACTGAAAGCAACATATGAACAAACAAGACAAACAAATGAAAAAAACTCCTAGACACAGAAAACAAACAGTATGGTGGTTGCCAGAAAGAAACGGGGTTGGGGGAAAGGTAGTAAAGAGTAAAGAGGAGCAAATATACGATGTGGGTAATGAACACACAATGGAATATAAAGGTGCTGTATTATAGAATTGTACACTTAAAGCTGATATTTTATTTAAACAATGTCACCCCAATATAGTTAATTAAAATTTTTTTAAAGAATTAGATCATGAACCATAATCTAAGTGTCATTATTCATTTTGTACTGTTACGTTTTTAACTCAATTTTTAAATTAAAAAAGGCAATGTTGAATCATTCCACATTAAGAAACCTAATGCTTCCATCCAAATTATACTTCTTGATTCTCATTGACATGAGCTCCATTCACCAAACCACTTTTTACCTGGATCTTTTGACTTTTAGATGAGCTTGGTACCATACTTACTTATCTAAGACCTTTGGATCCTCAGGGCTCCTATTTTCATACTCCAAAAGTTCAAGGAAGCTCTGCATATACCTGAAAAAAGAAGACCTACTGTGTTAGCTGTCTACCCAACACCCATTTCTCCTTTCCCTCTTCCATAGAGTACCCCCCATTTTCACTCAAGGAACATCCCCTCCCCTCCCCCAAGCAGTTCAAGTGCTTCGGGAAAAGCCGATGCCACGCACAGCTCCTAGGGGGCCTGACTTTTCTCTGGGCAATGCTATTTCTATTGTCACTCATTCCTAATTAGTCTGGTAGTCCAGGTCTAAGCCTGTTACTGCGTCACATATCCCTGGGCACCGGGATTGGCTCAGGAATGGGCATTCTGTCTCAATGCAGAACAGTGACATAAGAAAGACTTAATGGAGGTCTCTGGGAGAGAAATCAACTTGCTCTGCTGTTGTAGTTGGCTGTGTGGATGCGAAGACTGGGACTGTTGCAGCTATTCTGTCACCAGGAGGAAATCCAGCCTGAAGGTGAAGCCAACACCATGGAAAGCAGGACCTTGAGAAGCTCATGACATCTCTGAATCAAAGCAACACCAAAAGCTCATCCTATGGCTGCATCTTATAGTGACAAACAAGCCAATTGTAATTGTTTCAGCCAGGTTTAGTTGGATTTCTTACAAACATACCCTAACTGACACACCAAACCTAGAGTTTAATTATCCAAAAAAGTGCACATAAATTGTAAGAAGCACATGTGTGACACTGAATTGTGCACTAAGAACTTAGAAACCAGAAATAATGAAGGTTCCTTCTCAGAGTTAAATTCTCTTAAACACTCAGAAACAGCTTCAGAATTAAGAAGAGCTCCTTCCTATCTGCCTGGCCAGAGTGGCTCAGTGGTTGAGCATCGAACTATGAACCAGGAACTCATGGTTCTGTTCCTGGTCAGAGCACATACCCAGGTTGTGGGCTTGATCCCCAGTCAGAGGGGTGTGCAGGAGGCAGCCAATCGATGATTCTCTCACATCATTGATGTTTCTAGCTGTTTCTCCCTCTCCCTTCCTCTCTGAAATCGATAAAAAAAAATATATTTTTTAAAAGAATAGCTCCTTATCTCAATCAAGGCCAGTATAAGAAATAATGTGTCCAACATAAAGATCTAGAGAACACAGAAAAATGGGACCCAGGGTGGCACTTTACTGCAGCAGCTACATTCACACAGGACCTGCTGGATCCGGTGGTGATGCAGAGATTTCAATTACTCAGAGGTGTGTGATCTCTGCTTTGGATCTTAACATATCCTGAAAGAATTATCTCTTATTCTAATTATGTCTAACAATTAATGACACTAATCCTACTAGCCAGCTCTGATAGAGGATGAGGCTATTTAAGCAACTAAAAGTGACCATTAAGCACATAAATAGATATAAATTATATTTTTATTAATCAGCCTCACTTGACCTTTGTGACAATGCATAGTATATGTTCATCTCTGGGTATATTTTTTAAGTCTCTGGGTGGATAAAGCTATGGATTAGATAGTGCTAAAATCATCAGGCCAAATCACCCTGCAAAGGCCACTCTTAAGAGGGAAAAGAAATAACAACTAAACACAATGCACGATCCTGCATTGGATCCCTAAATTGGGGGTAGGGTGTTCTATAAAAAGAGAACACTATTAGGACAATTGATGAAATAAGAAGAAGTTCTACATATTAGAAAATATTACTGGATCAGTGCTAAATCCCCAAATTTAACATGCTGTGGTTTTCTAAGAATTGTTCTAAGTAGATACTTACTAAACTATTTAGGGGTAAAGGGTCATGATGTCTAGCATTAATGCAATGTTTCAGGAAAAAAATAACATGTGCGTATATTATATATGTGTGTGCGTTATGCCATACACACACACACACACACACACACATATACACATATATATACAGAGAGAGAATATGAATGAGAATGGTAGAACAAATGTCAAATGTTAGCAATTAGTGAATCTGGGTAAAGGTTTGTAATGGGAATTCTTGCTACTAGTCTTGCAAACCCTTCTGTTAAGTAGGAAATTATTTCAAAATTGAATGTTTAAGAAATGAAAAGGAGAAAATGTGTGTGTGTTTGGAACGGCCATGGAAAAGAATGGTGAGGAGACACGAAGAGTTGGCACAGTAATTTGAGTCTATACTTTGCCAATAATTCACTTTGAAGCTCCTGAAGTACCTTTTAAATAAGTGATAATAAATATTTAACTGTCACTGCCACCAAGACCAGGGGACTTGAAAGTCATCTAGCCTGCCTAGAACCCCCACCAGAGTAGCCCCCAATAGTGCTTATATACTTGCTTTTGGAAATCTCTAATGATGGCCTTGAGCAATAAAGAAGTCTCATGCAAACTTGCTGCTCCTTCTGAAACAAGCTATGCATTTAGTGTAGAAAGCAACTGACTATGAGATCGAAGCCATGGTCGCCATCTCTCCTGGGTTCCAGGGCCCCTGTGCCTCCCACAGGGAGGAGCTGCTGTGTGTCTGGGACAGGGACTGGACAGTGGATCTCCTAGACCTCCCAATAGAGTGTTTCTCTATTCTCAGCCTTAAGAATGTATTACAATTAATATAGGGTGGGCCAAAGTAGGTTGACAGTTGTGAGTAAGTGAAGCACAGAGTTTATTCTTGTATTATTCTTTATTTTGTGTTATATTATTTTCCATAGGAACAACTGTAAACCTACTTTTGCTTACCCCTGTATCACTGAGGAATGACTACTGAATGGCCATTCTCTTTCAGTAGCCTGGCCTCCACTGATCCTCTCAATGCAAGTTAATAGTTCTATTCTCCTTGTGTCTGTCCACATCATTCCCTTCCCCTAAAATGCTCTCCCTGTCCCTGCCTGAGAGCAATTTTTGCACCTGGCGTCCCCTTCTCCCCCAGCCTTCTCCAGTGACTTCTACCTCGCTTTTATAATCGAGAGGAGACCTGCCTGTATTTCTCAAATATATGCAAATCCTTTTCTAAAAATGCACCCACTCTCCTGCATCCTACCACTCACTAACCTCACCCTGCTGACCTAGTCAGTGGTTTACTCACAAATTCAACTTCCTCAATTAAATAACACGTTTTAAACTCAGAGCTGTATCTGATTGAGCTTTGAGTGGTACTTATTACAATTTTTCATACTATTCACATGGCAAATGCAGCATAGCAAGTAGTGATATTTTTCCAATCCAAGGTCCCTTTACATGACTTAATGTGTTCTAAAAGAAGTACTGCCTTCAAGGAACTTCTTTAAAAGGAAAACAAGCCCTGACCGGTTTGGCTCAGTGGCTAGAGCATTGGCCTGTGGACTGAAGGGTCCCAGGTTCGATTCCGGTCAAGGGCATGTACCTTGGTTGTGGGCACATCCCCAGTGGGGGTGTGCAGGAGGCAGCTGGTGGATGTTTCTAACTCTCTATCCCTCTCCCTTCTTCTCTGTAAAAGATCAATAAAATATATATTTTTTTAAAGGAAAACAAAAGGAGCAAGGCTGAGACTTGATGGAAGCAATATCCCCATCTAAAGGATTGCAGACCTGCGCACATCGGTAACTGCATTGCTATTCCTCTCTACTTTTCTGTACTCTCCCATTTTTTAAATAAGCCATCACATTTGTAAGCAGAAAAACAAAATTTGAAAGGTGTCTTGTACAGTTTAAAAGTATTTTCATTAAGGCGATTTTAAACTGTCAGTTAAAGAAAAAATCCTAATTTGCCTGGAAAACCCGGCTCTCCCAAGTGACTCACTCCTACACAGGCGCTGCGTGCACTTTTAGGGAGAATGGTCCCAATGCCAACTGTTCAGAGCATCATGGGAAGACCCATTTGAAGGCACATTATTTACTTACCAACTCTGGACCAATCCCACTGAAGGGCGGTTAAGCAAATTATCCGGCAGAAGATTAACTTCTCTCATGGTGTTAGCCAGGCGCACAGGAAGCTCCTTCCGTAGAAACATGTATGACGTTTTTTCACACGCATTGTCTCTCCCTATTCAGAGATGAAAAATTTTCCATGATTTACAATCTAATAGATGGAATAAATGGTGCCATGGTAGCAGTTACTGGTCGGGAAGAGAAAATTAAATAATCCTGCAACCTCTAGTTAAATTTTTATCCTCTGAAATAGCAAATTTAAGAAAATAATTTAATAAGAATAGCAAACAAACATTTATTCCAAGAGGCCACCTTGAAAGCAGTTTTTCTCCTTAACACAAATCTGCCCCTAGTGTTACTAGTGGTGATCTAAAAGTGACCTGGGTCCTAGCCGGTTTGGTTCAGTGGATAGAGCATCAGCCTGTGGACTGAAGGGTCTCGGGTTTGATTCTGGTCAAGGGCACGTACCTGGGTTGCAGGCTTGAACCCCAACCCTGGTCAGGGTGCGTGCGGGAGGCAACCAATGGATGTGTCTCTCTCACATCGATGTTTCTCTCTGTCTCTCCCCGTCCCTTCCATTCCCTCACAGTGGTTCTCAACCTTCCTAATGCTGTGACCCTTTAATACAGTTCCTCATGTTGTGGTGACCCCCAACCATAAAATTATTTTCGTTGCTACTTCATAACTGTAATTTTGCTACTATTATGAATCGTAAGGTAATAATATGATATGCAGGATGCATTTTCAGGGGTCGTGACCCACAGGTTGAGAACCGCTGCAAGTCCAAAACTTATCAATGGAAAAATATCCTCAGGTGAGAATTAACAAAAAAAGAAAAGTGACCTGGGATATAATCTGGGTTTGTTTTCAAATAAACACTGTGGGAAAACTGCCAAGTACAAAAGTAGGAGAATATATAAATCGACTCTTATTCAGAGGCATTTCCAGAAGGCAACAGATCCATTCATTCCACAAATATTCACCTACTATATACTGAGATTTTCTTCAAATGTGTTTTTTCAGGGACCACTCTGCCCCTCAGGGAAACAGCCACAGACCCCATGGCACCAATTAGAGTGCCTCATTATTGGTAGCTTCTCAACGATTTATTGGAATAATACTTTCAGAAGTTTGTAGTTTTAAAAAAGAGTACCTGAAAAATCTCCGGTTTTGCCTCCTACATTCTAATTTAGCTTTCAAGGCAAATTCTTTGTACTCAGATACCATAATTATACACCAGCTTAAAGAGGAATACGTCCTTTTGTAGTTAGTTAATTAGTGAACCTAAAAATAAATACAAGATACCTGATTTTTTTAAACCTTTCTGTGGTTTTCCTCCTATAGGTTGCAAGTATTTTATCCTGTATATTAATGCTAGATATTCAGTTTAAATCAAAGGGTTCCAATAAACTTTTTAAAGTAAACTTACAAAAAAAAATCCTTCTGGTTTTAATTGAATGTCCTCTCAAAAGGGTTCTGTTTTTATACGTCTTCTGGCAGACTATTTTCCAGTTCTTCTTTCCAGTTATTTGACTTCACTTTTTCCCCACTTCTGTGGCTTTTCTACATTCCTTCATTTTGATTTTCTATTTTTATTCTGCATTTCTCTACTCTATGTTATTTAAATTTACCAATTAAATTATTCCCTAGTATCAATTCAGAAGAAGACAGAGGAGTGGGTGAAGGACATGGAAAATTTTGCCTTTAGTGAACACAAATTAGTCATTGGCTTTAACACACTCATGTTTATTTCTTCAGTTCTTCTTCCTCATTTGATGAGCCTTTCGTTCTGTTCAGCTTTCTGTTTGCTTTTCCTACTTTGCCCTTCCATTGCAAAGCTGGAGACAATGTCTACATTTGCAAAAGGTATTATTGGCATTGCCTAGAAAAGTTCCAAGTAGCTTTCCATTCACCAAGATATAGAATGGCCCTGGTTGGTTTGGCTCAGTGGATAGAGTGTTGGACTGCAGACTGAAGGATCCCAGGTTCGACTCCAGTAAAAATATATTTTTTTAAAAAGATATAGAATGAATTAGATATAAAAACACAAATTACTTTTGATTTAATGCAGGGAGCCCTCTCAGTGGTGGCCGCCGTAAGAAAGGAGCATTTGACTAGCCTTCTGAGAGCAAGAATAATAGTTCAGACTTATTATTTTTATACCTGGTTTCCAGAGTGACCTGTATTTCTGGTGAATCTTTAATACTCTTTTCGACTAATTTACAGGAAGCCAAAAAAGCCCACAATTATTTCTCCAGTTAATGAAGTGACCTTGTATCTTATAGTTAGAGCAGAGGGCTGAGAAACCTCACAGCCACATGTAGAATCTCCTGTCTGGATTACTTAAAGGCTATCTTTGTCCTTTAACACTTGGTGGGGGATAGTTTGGGAATAGTAGTAATGGAATGAGGGAATGGAAAAGGAGAGCAACAAATGGAAAAATTATTAGCAAGGCATCAAAACCCAACAGAGTGAGCAGCTCATTCAGATAATGCTGCTTTTTCTAAATACTGTCAATGTATTTTTACCATTAACCATCTTAAAATGGATAAATTAACCGAGAAAATAGAATTTTCAGGGCAGCTCGTTGATTTTTCTCCAGTTGTAAGATTTCAATCTTTGAAAACATTGAATTTTAGAACTATACGTAGTTAATTCTTGGACTTACCAAGGCTAAACAATGATTAATTGAAGAGTCCTTCAGAGACACTGCCTGAAGTGTGAACAGAGAAGCTATCAACTGATTGTGAATATCCTTCAAAAGAATCCCTTATTTTTTTAGCTTCATTTATACTTTTAAAATGTTTGTTTTACTCCATGTCTAGAAGTACTATTTCACTGCCTGAAAAGTTTAGGTTTTCCTTTGTTTGTGAAAATTTATTCCTGAATATAAAAAGAGATCAAAATAGGTAGCAGATTTGGGGTTTACCAAACTTGAGGCTGCTCTCAACTCCAGACCAGGCCTTGTTATTATTACTAACAGTGTTATTACTGACGTTATTGCTAACAGTGAGCCAGAAACTCCAGAGCCAAAGACTGGGGGTTTCGCCCGGCCAGCATGGCTCAGTGGTTGAGCATAGACTGAAGAACCAGGAGGTCACATTCAATTCCTGGTCAGGGTACATGCCCAGGTTGTGGGCTTGATTTCCAGCAGGGGGCCTGCAGGAGGCAGCTGGTCAATGATTCTCATCATTGATATTTCTCTCTCTTTCCCTCTCCGTTCCTCTCTGAAATCAATAAAGATATATTTTAAAAATAAAGAAGAAGACTGGGGGTTTCACACACACCTCATTCCCCATCATATTCAATACCCCAACAACACCCATATATTACATGACTCCTTTTGGCCCAGTGTCTATTTTATTATGCTCACAGATGTTGTGGGTCAGGGGTTTAGACAGGACACTGGAGGGATGGCTTGTCTGGGACGTCAGCTGGGAAAACTCAAATGCTAGGGAAGTGACTAGACTATGGGCAGGGTCAGCGGGGCTGGAAGTATCTGAAGGCTTCCTACTCACAAGTCTGACCCTACAAGCTTTGCCTACCGGAGCACTGCTGCATCACCTGTCAGGGGGCCTCCTCACAGCATGGCAGCCTTGGGCTAGTTGGATTGGGTTTAGTAAACAAGGTGGAAGCTATTTGGCCTTTTATGCCCCAGCCTCAGAAGTCACACAGCTAGCCCCCTTCTGCCATACCCAAGCAGTCACAGCAGTCACAGCCTGCCCGGACAGACTCCAGGAGAAGGGGATCAGACTCGCGCTCTTGATGGAGGGCTGGCAAAGGCCCATCACAGAAAAGCAACATCATGGCCATCTTTGGAAAAATGACACCCGCCTAAGATGTTCACAAGAAGGTGTAGATTATTTATTTCTCAAATTACATTTTTAAAAATATTTTTTATTGATTTCAGAGAGGAAGGGAAAGGGAGAAAAATAGAAACATCAATGTTGTGAGAGTATCATTGATTGGCTGTGTGCCCTGACCGGGAAATCAAACCAAAGCATGACCTCTTGGTTTCTAGGTCGAAGCTCAACCACTGAGCCACACAGGCTGGGCTCTCAAATTACATTGGCATTTATTTATCTTAGTTTCTTTCTTTCTCGCTGTGGACTTCCCTCAGATGGCTGGTGGTCCTTGCTTACTCATCAGTCATGTTTGAGAGTGAAGCAACCTAAAGATTGACTAAGTGAGCACCCAAAACTCCTGATTACATAGGGCTTTTCGGTGGGGGTCCTAACATCACCTCAGCTTTCCTAATCCTTCTTAAATAGTTTATTCAGGGATGCTAGAGAAGAACCTCCCTTTTGCCCTTTACTTTGCCTCGGGGTAACTGCCTGCCTAATAAAGTTTTGATGGTTAGGGTGGAGGGTGACCCTTCTGTTTGAAGACTTTCAGTTCATTCTTCAGCATGATAACTATATCACAGTGAAGAATGAATGGGCTGTGGGGGGAGATAAAAGGCAAACATAGTAAGTCCCCACTTAATGCCTTCAGGAGGTTCTCCAACTTTTGGTGAAACAGATAATAAAACCAATTTTACCATAGGCTAACTGATACAGACAAGAGTTAGGTTCCTATGGTGTCTCATCAACATTATAATGAAACAACATTATTCAAGGACCTGATGGATGGCACAGTTAACGGGTGAATCTAAGTGCTAGACATGAGTGTTAACTGTATTGTTCTTACAACTTTTCCTAAGGTCAGAAATTTCTCCAAATAAAAGGTCTGGGGGGAGGGGGACATTAAAAATAACCTAAATATCTAACAACCTAATATCTAGACAATAAGGCAATAGTAAAATAAATTACAATAGTGTATATTTACATGGGGAAATATGCAGTTATTAAAAAGTGTTTTTAAAGAAAAACACAATCTTCTAAAAAAGGTTTTCTTGGCCCTAGCTGGTTTGGCTCAGTGGGTAGAGTGTCGGCCTGCAGACTGAAGGGTCCCAGGTTCCATTTTGGTCAAGGGCATATGCCTGGGTTGCAGGCTCGATCCCCAGTAGGGGGCATGCAGGAGGCAGCCTATCGATGATTTTCTCTCATCATTGATGTTTCTATCGCTCTCTCCCCATCTCCTTCCCTCTCTGAAATCAATAAAAATATATTTTAA